GATTTTTATATTAATCCATGTATCCAGTGCTAAATTCATTTATTAGTTCTAGTAGTTTTTTATTGACTTCTTTGGATTTTCTGCATACACAGGCATGACATCATTCAATAATAATATTTTTACTTTTTTATTCACAATCATTATGCTTTTTTTTTTATTCTGTCTTATTACACTAACTAGGACTTCAGCTCAACAGACATGGTGTCAATTGATATCTTTGGCTTGTTATTAACCTTGGGGGGGAACCTTCCTTTATTTTATGTGGTGAATTAGATTGCTTTTTCTAAGAGACAGGGTTTTACTCTATTGTGCAGGCTGGAGAACAGTGGCATGATCATAACTCACTGCAGGCTTGAACTCCCTAGCTCAAGTGATTCTCCTGCTTCAGCCTCCCAAATACCTAGGATTAAAAGCATGCATCACCAGGCCCTGCTAATCTTTTAAATTTATTTTTAATATTTTATTAAAAAAATATTTTTTTGAGACAGAGTCTCACTTTGTCCCCCTCAGTTGAATGTCATAGTGTCGTAACTCATAGAAACCTCAAACTCTTGGGCTCAGGCGATCCTCTTGCCTCAGCCTTTTAAGTAGCTGGGACTGTGGATGCCCAGCACAATGCCCTGCTAGTTTTTAGAGACAGAGTTCTCAATCTTGCTCAGGCTGGTCTTGAAGAAGTCCACCTGCCTTGGCCTCCCAGAGTGCTAGAATTACAGACATGAGCTGTATTTTGATATTTTAAATAGAATTACAATAAAATCACTGCATCTAAATCATTATATTATTTTATAATTTCTTTGTCAAAAGAAGAAAATTGTATTGGTATGTTACTAATACAATTAATAATTCCTAAAAATTGAATTGCTGGGCTACAGTTTTCAATAGTATAAAAAGTTCTCCAGAAAAGTTTTTAATAAACATATTCTCTCTTTCTACCAAAAGTGCCTTTACAGATGCTGTTCTACTTAAACTGGGGTTATGCACCAATAAACCCATGGTATAAAGTTGGAAAATAGTAAGTTGAACTGCTGTAAAGCAGGGACAGTTTTTATAGCATTAATCAATATAGTAGCCAACTCTAGATGTTATTATGGACCAAATTGCCAATTTTATAGGCCAAGATGCATCATTTTAATTCACCATGACTTGTTAGTGAAGTCAAAAATTTTTGCAAGTACTTTTTGAACATTTTTTTTAATTTTGTGAATCGTTTACTCATACCCTTTGCCCATTTTCACATTTAAATTGTTAAATTTTGTTCTTAATGGTTTATAAATAAATATATTTATTTTGAGCTTTTGTATTAATTGCACAATGACAGGGTCATCAGGAATAAGTCAAAACACATATTAGAACTTCAGAGTTTGAGAAACTTGATCTTAAGTGGAAATTAAGGATGATGCCAGATTTAGAAATATGGTGAAAATTAGGTTCCTCAGAAAATAGAAAAGCTTTTATGAGGAGATACATGATTGAATTTGTGTTGCAGGACAAGGGTCAGCAAACTATGGCCCTTGGGCCATTATGTTTTTATAAATAAAGTTTTATTGGAACACATCCATATCCATTCATGTATGTATTGCTTACGAAAACTAACATGCTACAATGGCAGAGCTGAATAGTTGCCACAGAGACCACATGACCAGCAGTCCTAAAATATTTACTATTAGTTTTTATAAATAAATTTGCCAAACCATTTATAAAGATAACTCTGGCAGCAAGATGAAGGATAAATAGTAATAAGGATAAATTAGATGGATGGAAAATATTTGGGAGGAAATTGTGTTAGTTCAGGTAACAATATTACAAAGGCCTTGTCTAAGGAAATAGTAATAATCATGGAAAAGCAGAAACATTGAGAGACATTTTATATAGAGAGTCAGTAAACAGATATGAGAAAAAAAGAAATGTGTTTAAAAGACTACAGGTTTTCTATTTTTAGTGATTGTAAGAATGGCAGTATTCTCAACTATGGTAGAAGAAAAAGGGTGGGGAAAGAAAAAGTGTTCAGGAACAGTAATGATTTTTATTTTGGGTAAATTCCAAACTATATGTGAAATTTTAAAAACATAACATAACATATTGAATACAGACATACAAATGTATAAATGAGAACATGACTTCAGAATAATGGAAGAATAGTGAAGAGAGGGAGAGATAGGGAGAGGAGATTAGCTTGATCTGCAATTGTATATTTCTTCTAAAGAAGCTGCCAGTAAAACCACTAAAAAAGGATGTATAAACTGAAAGGAGGAAAAGTAAGAAAAGACATAGTCCTGGACTATGGGGGAAGGGAGGAAAAGCAAAGCATAAACTCTTTCAAAAGCAAAGCATAAACTCTCTATTAGCAGTCAGAAACCTTGGAGAGAGTTTTGGGAGAATGTTGAGCCAGATGGTGGAGGGTGGAGAGGAGAGGTATAGCAATGAAGGAGTGAAGGCAGTGAGAGCAAATGGCTCATTCAAAAAAGGCTGGCAATGAAGAAGAGACAAGAAGAAAAAGACATTCAATAGTTAAAAATGAGAAATATTTCATTTATCCAGTGCTTCATTTTCAGGCTAAGTGGATACTCAACTAAGTCAACATC